CTATCGTAAAAAAATCAAAATATATATTATGTACGGTATCCATTACATTCTGAAATACATAAATAAACTTTTGACCGTAAATTAATATTTAACTTTTCGAAYTTTTGTAAAAWTTTWAAATTTWAACCATACAACAGTTTTTCTGACTCTATGGAAGATAAATACAATTTATTTATTTTTAATGATGTATCACTTCTAGTAACAACCATAGTTTTGGGTTTGGGTTGTAAAATGCACTGACACTCGGTTGACATTGACTGATTGCCTTAAAACTTAAAATTTCACAATTCAGTAATGTCTGTGTTTAATTTTCGTTAAACAGTTTCAAATCAAAAGTAACTTTCAAAAACTAATGTAAGTCTAGGAAAACATTTCAATTTCACATAAATATTAAAATCTATTAGATAGGCAATCATAAAATATAATAATAATATATTATTATTTATTAGAATAAATCGACGGTGTTTTAGAAATACGTTGCCATTACTTCCAATTGGATCAAAACCAACGGAAATCTCCAAATCGGTTGATTAATAAATAATATGAATTTGAGAAAGATTATATCTTATAGCCATTATCGTGTTACAAAAAGTAGAGAAGCATTGGTAATCCATTTATGATTGACGTATATTGATWATAAATTGTTATCTATATAAAGCACATTGATACATTTTATAGTTATAATGTAACTATGTAGCCATTCCAGCTTTACTGTATTCGAGGCCAATATGATATGGCCACTGTGCCACTCGGGAATACAATCGGATTTAAGCGCATCTAATGCCAAGACCAGCAGAATACTGTATTTGGGTCAAGTGTGACAACTTTGGTTTACCCGTATTTATCCGTCGGTTACAGATTGCGAGGACCCTAAGGAACATGTTCACCCTTAACAAAACGATTATCCTAACTTAAAGTGTTATGACCTATGAGGGTGGACAATCGAGAGAATATGCACACAACATTTTATCTAGACGTTAAAAATTATTTATCATACTTCTTTTTYGTCGCTTTTCAAGTAACTACTTACGATCTATGATTTATGATCGATCGATTTTAACGTGACTGGGTACGATTTCCACAATACGGGCGAWTCAACACTACAACTCTCAATAATATCAGGGTGCAGGTATCGGACTTATTGGTGTCGAATTTTTTTAATTTRATAACCGATATCGTAAAAAACCAACAGATCCAATAGTTTATTGAAAAGGCTGAGAGCAGTGTATGGCACGACAGTTTGAATTTGCCACAATATTTCATATGTGATTGTCATATATTTTGTCATACAATCGATAATAGTAATAAACTAAAATAAATGTAATTCCAAGTCATTATATTATACACGTACATAGGTACTTTGTATATTATAATACACACACACACATACATATACTCATTATAATAATATTTATTTTAACATAAATATTAATATAGCATGTTATACCTAATATTATTAGGCTAATAGCATTGCCTAACATTTAAACACTATTACAATACTGTTTATAATCAATGCTAATAGATAAAATGGATACGGTACCTAAACACATTTATTATCACTTTGGTGTTTAGTAGTTTGGAAATTTTTCTTTAAATACCCAGAAAATTATGTTTCAATTTTAAACAGTTTTTAATTTTCAATTGTATTGGTCTTAATAGTTTTTTTTTTTTTTAATTTCATTTACTTTGAATTTTTTACTCAAAAACTATTTTAGTTATTATAGTTTATAACTGTTTTAAGTAATTAAATAATAATCAATGCTGCTATTATAGTGTCTCGGTAATGGTTTTAAGTAAGAAATAATTTTTTTAAATTTATATATAATATATATATATTGGTTATCGGTTTAATATAAGTAGCATAAAATATTGTGGAGTATCGACAAATGTAGCATATATACATAATACAACATCTACATTTTTAACACATGTATCTATACAAAATGTTAGAAATAACAGATATTTATTATGTAATTTACTAACTATGTGATTACTTTTGTTCTTACAGTACTATTAATTTCTTTTGTTAATACAATATTATTACTAATATAGGTAATCATGTTATCATATTATAGTCACATATATAATAATTTAATTAAAGTTATTAGTTATTTTTGTTACAACCTTTATGTAATTTTAAAATATTATTTTATGAACTATTTCTTTACATTTTGCAAGGCAATAGGAATAATATTGAGATACTAACAAAGTCTTGTGTTTGTGTAATTTATTATATTAGAAGAAAAAACATTAGCTGTACCTATATACTTGTTTAGTTTCTTAATCTCTTACGATGGGTTTGGCTAGTTGTTTTATTCTCGGCGAGCACCAAGCTTTTAATGCTTTCGGATTGACTGTAAAGGCGTTTGCTTTAACATCAGTCGTTTTTGGAGTTTCTCTGATTTTTGGTGTTGACAATTCTTTGATCCTATCGGTAGCTGAACATATAAATAGAAAAAAATAAAAGATATTTTTATACAGTTTATTGTCAGATGTCTACTAAAGATCTTTTTGAGCTTAGAAATAATACTTTTTTAGGTGTATAATAATACTGTATATTTACGTTAAACTAATGTATTAATATATAATATATATATATATATTTATCAATATCGGTATTAGCAGCCGAAAAAGAACACTTGCTCAGTATTGCTATGTTACACAATATACACACGTGCATTATGTGTATAAAACCATATTATAAGACATACAATATGTATAATAATATTTTGAATATCTGACACAGAGTTATGAAAAAAAATACTACTAAACTTATGCGTCTAGAGTTTTAGTGATCTCATGATTTCCGAAGTAATAAAAAACTTTAAAGTGTAGGTAGCTTTTGACAAATGTTAATCTTAACTAATTAACATTATCTTTTAAGTAAAGACATTT